TGGGTTGAAACATTGTGTTTCATTAATGAATTAAATGATTCTTTAAATTGATTAATTTATTTTTATTAATTTAAGTGAATAAATCTCTAATTGTAAGTCCTTTCTATAATTAAATGTAGAGTTCTCATTTTCTTCGCACACTCATAAGCTTATGTTGCGTCTTGATCGTTCTCGAAATTTTGTCAACGCTCTCCTGAAAAAAATCCTGATTCCTCTGGAGTCACCAAACTTCAGCTGCGTGGGCACGGTTAACATTTAGGACTTAAGTGCACCGAGTGCTGTTGGCGAATCGGGCAACAAAAATAAGTCAACGAAAAACCAGCATCTTAATCCTTTAAGAACCTCCGCCAGAAAACTAAAACCAAAAGCGCAGAGAAAAAAAGATAATTCGCGAGGATACTGTAATCTGTGAAGAGTACAAGAATCCCAAAGTGTCCATTGCGAGAGAAGTAAAGAAAGAAAAAAGTACGTTCAACGCCAGTGAGGCCATTAATTCCTCCGAAAAACGTTGAACACAGCACATGCGGGTTCCCCTTGAACGTAAGACCATGATGCTTGCGAGATTGCTGCGATAAGAACATTGAGTCGGCTCGCGATATTTTCGCGCGAACGGGAGGAGATGAAAAGTCGATCTAGCCAGGGCCTGCTTCCCTCGGCTCCGGATAGATGAAGATAATATCTGACGTCGGTGAACGCAGGCTGCGGGGGGTCCGTTCTCTCGCAACAGGTTTCTTGGTATGTTCCTACCTGTTACGATAGTGTTCTCGGGGGCTCCGTCATTATAATGTTAAACGATTCGGAAGAGGATCGAAAGATCGATGCTTGCATCAGCTTCCAGATACAATTTTATTTCGAAGTAGAGCAGAAATTCTTTTCTTCTGGCAGCTGTTATACTTAGATCGTGTCCTGTTGTCCAACGTGGACACTTCTCCCCATGTGTGTCTCTTTCACAATAATGCCCCCGTTCGATTATTATTATTGATTCGTTTCGTAAGCTCCTCGACGCGATTGATTTGCTGCTTTCTTATTGACTACGTGTCTTTGCTTCGGATTTGGTTACGTGAATTTACGAAACTCGAATTTCACTCGAAATAAATCATTTTTTAATTATTTCATTTGTTACAACGAAATCACTAGTGTAACAAATTCGGTGAATCATCTACAGAAGATTAATCTAATTTTACTGATCATTGAGTAATATGCATCGTGCTCTACAATAGTTACACTTTCCCCGCCGTTAAAAGTTAACATTGCTCGAATAATTACATTTCTAGGGGCGTGTTCACCGATCGATTAAGCAGGTTCTCCGACACGCCGAAATTAATTCCGTACGGTATGTTTACCTGATTCCGCTGGCCCGACATTTATTTCTTTCATGCGGTAGCTATCATTAATTATTCACCATGCGTGCGTGACGCAAGTCGATCGCGACACACGTCGTCGTCTAGTGTCTAGCAAGCCCTAGCATGCTATTATCTGCATGATCATTGTGTCACGAACAAGCGGCAATTACCTCCGAGTTCCTGATTGTCACGCCATGATAATCTCTTAATCCGATAACGTTTTATCGTTACCAAATTCACCAGTTTCTATTATACTGATCGTCTCTTTGGTATGTCATTGTTAGTTTTTTCATTCCAGCAAACTGTTGCATTGATATTGAAATTAATTTCGATTCTCGACATTAAATGACTTTTCCAATATCTTGTTTCTTTAGTAGGTACAATTGTACATATAAATCGTTTTTGAATAATTTTGCAGTTTGTTTATATAAAAGTATTCAACATTTTCAT